AATATAATAAATTATTAATAAAATATAATAATAAAAGATTATTCAAGTAATAATAATATAATGATATTTTAATAAAATATTCATAAATTAATGATAAATACTAATAAAATAATAAAAACAAAGTAATAATAAAAAGCTAAAATATTATTCGTTAAATAATAAGAATAATTAAGTACAAATAATATATATAATATAATTAAAGTAATAATAAACACTAACATATTAATTATTCAATAATAATAAATTAGTTCTAAAACAATAATCAATAATAATAAATTAATACTAAGGTATTAATTATTAAATACTAATAAAATATTAATAAAGTAATAAGAAAATAATAAATATACTAATAAACTTACTTTCAGTCATGTCCGCAAATCAAATGGACCTTATATCTCATTTTTTTTCTACATTGAACCTGATGAAGGATGATTTGACCCAACCTATGAAACGGTGACACGTGGACACTGAATCAGCACGAGCGACACCTCGGCATTGTGGCCTAGTGCGACCAAGTAACGGGCCCATAAAGCAACTCGCTACATTGTAGCTCACAAGAGGAGGAGCTCGCCACAATGCGAGCTCCGRGTTCCCCGAGCTACCTTTGAAGGGATACTCCGTGGCAACTTTAGCTCGCGAGCTAGGGGAACTAGCTCACCTGAGCTCCCAAGCAGACAAGTCATCCCAATGACCAATTCAATTAAGGGTAATCCAGAAGTATTCCGAGCTCACTACAAGGTAGCTCGCGAATGAGCCGCGTGAGCACTCTTCCGGAAGCTTCTATCTGACAGGCCGTACCGATCGGACTGCGCCACGTCCCTTACTGACGGCGCAGTTCCTGTCCTTTCGACAGTCTACGTCCACGTCTCTCAGTAGGCGGAGGCGTGCCTGCCACCTTGGAGACGTGTCACTCACCCGGGCGAGAAGTACGTCACAACGGCCACCTGCGCAGCCCTGACAGGTAACGATGCTTGCATGTAGATACTGCGCCTGGACCCCACCGTACGCCTTGCAGTAGCCAAGAAAGGTGTGACACACAAAGAGTTCAAATGGCACATGGTCGTTAACCAACCGACGACCATAACCGAGTTTCTGAAGCATGCGAACAGGTTCATAGCCCCCGAAGAGGAGATCAACCAAAAGGGCGAGGGCGCACCCGAAAAAAAAAAGAGGGAAGGTGAGCTTTCCAGTCAAGGGGACAGCYGAAAGAAAAAGGACACAGCTCGGGGGGCAAGGCCGGGTCAGTATCCTCGACCTCTTATAGCGGACCGAGCTGATTACACCCCACTGAACGCGAAGCGGGCTGAAATCCTGATGGCGATCAGGGACGCCCCGTACGGGTCCCCCCCAAAGCCTAAGGGCCACATTTTTGCTGAAAAACCCAGTCACCTTTACGGCATGGGCAACAATACTGCTCAAGAGTCAGCCGCCTCATCGGCATGGACAAAGTCAACAAGAGTGGACTATAAGTCGTTCCTAGAGCCTAAGGGCAAAATACCGAACTGGCAGAAACCTCGGCGCCTCATGGGCAGCTCGCTTCCAAGCAGCTCCCAAAGCCTAAAAAACTGAATCAGCGCCTACAAGCTTGTCGATTTACGGGCCAAAAGGAGAAATCTACTCCCTTCGCTGAGTTACTTTTAGCTCGGGAGTGGAGGGCAACTGATAAGGGTGGATTTGGCCCTCCAATGACATTGTGACACGTGGCACCTCATGCCAAATAAGTGCAAACCCTTGACAGCTAGACAGCTTGAGCTTGCCACAAGCAGCTCGCCATCATTGCAACACACAGGCAGCTCGCCATCTTGTAGCTTGGCAACTCAGAACAACTAGGTGGCAGCCTGACCTTGACACGAGCTGGTAGCCTGGCCTTGACACGAGCTGGCAGCCTGGCCTTGACATGAGCTGGTAGCCTGGCCTTGGCACGAGTTGGCAACCTGACCCTGGCACGACCTGGCGGCCTGGCCCTGGCAGCTTGACACAGGCGCCAACCTGACAACCTCAAGGAGCTCACCACTGTACCCCGCATTTTACGGGATTATGACTTGTAACGACTATATTAGCTCACCTGGTTAAACAAGTGTCCTCTATGCTATTAGACCTTCTCAAAAATCAAATTAGAAAAAAGAAAAAAAAAACTAAAATAATATAAGCACGTGTATCTAACTATCAATATGCCTTTGCGGATACACAGGGGCATATAAATACCTTGAACCAATGTTTAAAATATCGTTACGTATTGGCTGATACGTATTGTTCTGGGACCTTTCTGATACACTCCTATAATGGGTGTATCGGGGGTCTGACCAGTTCAGGGGATGGAGGGGTTTTAGACCGGCTCCCCTGAACCAGTTTTGAAAAAAAAATTAAAAAAATAAGTAAACAAACAAGTATCAAAATGCCCAATATGCCCCTACCGACATATCAGGCACATCGATATTTTAAACCTTACCTTGAACCTTGTACATAGTGTGAATCTCCGAGAGATATCATACAATGCGTTTACTGTATTTGTACAATCAGAAATTGTTCGTCTATGTAAATCCTTCCAGAAAACATAGAGACCCAAATCACAAATCATCATATGTAAATCCTTCCAGAAAACATATGTTTCAATGAGCAAAGTAATTCTCAACTTTGATGAAGAAAAAATAAGCAAAATTATCGGTTAATCCAATCCAACCACATTTATATTAGTATATTTTGCTTTATTTACGTGTTAAATAAGTATTAATTATTATAGTACTTGAATTTAACTTTGACGATTTTGACCGAATTTAAGAAGAATATATACTTTATATAGTAATAGATGATCAATTATCTCATTTGACCTTTTTTTTATGCAACSGTAACCTGTAATCTGAAAGCAATCTAACTTGACTTTCAAATCATCAATCACTCAATCAAACAGTTGAGAAAATGCAAATAACAGGAATAATTAATTTATACAAGCAATATAACTTCATGAGTTATAATTCAGTGGAAAAGTCAAATCTTTAGATTATCTTAATTCAAATTATTATTAACAATCCGTAAGTAGGGAGAATGACGGTTCAGTGTAAGGTCAGAATTTTTAGATCCAAAATATTGTTGGGGTAGATGCCAGCTCAGAATTRATGTTAATTTATGGCGGACATTAATGCATAAAGTGTGAATATTTGACATTTTAAATGTTTATAAATGTACAATATAATTCAGAAATCTGCATTGAATCTATTCATACTTTTTGATAATTAAAAATGGATTAATTGATTTTGATTTTGAGTTCAAATATTTTGCCCACGTCTACTCACGTAAYCGCACATGGAAAACTTTTCATCCTCCTACATAATATTATAATAGATGTGATTAAAGTTCTCGTGGGCAGAGTTCAGCAATGACGCCAGATGCCTTTGGACGCCRTAACCTCCATTTGTTTAATTGCCGTCCCTCTGGCTTTTATAGAGATTGGGTATTGAGAGTTTCGATGCTATGAAATTATTAATTTTCAAGTTTTTTTTTTTTTTCTTTTGATATTTTGACAGGCCAGCTGTTATATCGGATATTAGTAATAAAAAAAAAAACTTAAAATCATAAAACTCATTAAAGTAAGCGTAGAAATACAGGATATATCCGATATCAAAATTAGTATATGAGATACGAAGCATATGGTATTAAAATTTTAAACCTTAATGTTCAGTTGACAATACTTTTCCACATAAACCACGAATCAGCCTGGCTTGTAAATCTAAAACACACGAAGAAGCATGGTTGGAAATTTAGTTTGTAAATGAGGCAGATCTGCCAGGCTTAATTTAGCATAAACCAAGCGTGATCCTATTTCCTGAATTTTGAGTTTCAGCTTCAATTATCCTAATATTTGAATATTTAAATTATAAAAATAGAACCATAATCTCATTTAATTGAGGCCGGCCGGTTACAGGTCTGCGACTGCGTGCACCAATTCAATTCTTTCAGCTGCTTGGTCCTTTTATACACATCCCTAGATCATCTTACTTTTTAACCTTCTCTGTGTCAACGTCTTTAATTAACATTCGTTTCTCGACTATCTCACTCTATTTCAAATGAGAGAAGAGATGGGCTAAACTTGAACTTGGTTAAATGGTTCTGACCATTACTTTAGACTTTCCTTGGATCTAGTTTACCCGGAATGGATCATTAATGGCGGGAATATAATGTTTAGCTGACTAAATTACAAATTCATAGCTGGCATAGCGTATCCTGTATATGGCAATTATCAATCCCCTCCACTTTTCAATTCTTAATAGATGCTTACCTATTCACATGCAATTGCAATTGCCAAGGCACTTATCGCCATTAATTATATATAGTAAAGATCAAACTGTTTCTTTTAACCATAAATTAAAAACTAAGCATATGGTAGTATTGGAATTCCAAATTTCCAATTAATTAATATCATCGTTTGGAGCTGAGGTGATCAAATCATTCCTGGCCAAACGTTGTGGACCCAGCTTAATTGTCCGGCTTGCTATTTTCCAGTCCTGGGACAAGAGTTTTTTGTCCAGGCCTGGCTTGGTATATTTATGTACTAATTAAGTAATACAAACAGTTTAAACTAACCGAATGGATAATTAATAATTTGGTATATATAACAAAATTATATATAAATGAAACGACTTGAAARGAACTTTCAGCCTTTGACTCATCTTTAAGGCTATATTTGGTTTGAAGAAGGAAAAGTAAAGAAATTTCTACAAAGTATGTAAAAGTTTCTTTTATATTTCCTTTATTTAAACCAAATAGATAATAATTTTATGTAAATGACTTCGTAAGCAGACTTGAGATCTCTTGCTCATGAGAACTCTGCCCATACCTATCCACAATAAAACTACCCCTACATAATACTATGCAGAGGATAAGATATTCTCAATATGTGATGTGGGCAAAATTCTCATGGGCAGGAGATCTGGACTCCCGCAAGCAGCCCTATATAAAGACAGATAGAACTTGCTTATTCTCATTCTCATGAGAGAGAGAGAGAGATGGATTCTATTGGGGTAGCTGATAAGCCTCACGCAGTATGCATCCCATACCCAGCACAAGGCCACATAAACCCTATGCTCAAGTTGGCAAAGCTCCTTAATAGCAGAGGCTTTCACATCACTTTTGTTAACACCGAWTACAACTACCGGCGCTTGCTCAAGTCCAGAGGCCCTAATTCCCTAAGTGGTTTAGTTGATTTCAGGTTTGAAACCATCCCTGATGGTCTACCACCGTCTGATACTGACGCCACCCAAGATATCCCTACCCTCTGCAACTCCACCAAGAACTCTTGCCTGCTCCCCTTCCGCACCCTCCTTTCCAAGCTCAATAATTCTTCCTCCTCCAACATTCCTCCTATTACTTGCATCATATCTGATGGGGTCATGAGCTTCACTCTTGATGCTGCTGAAGAACTAGGTATTCCTGAGGTTCTCTTTTGGACTACCAGCGCTTGTGGCTTCATGAGCTATGTGCACTATCCCTATCTCATTGAAAGATGTCTTACGCCACTCAAAGGTACGTATAATATAAATTAAACAAATTCCAACCGCCCCACTTCTTTATATATATATATATATATATATTTGAGAATGAATTAGCTTGTTATATAATACACTAAATTTGATATATATACTAATTCTATGCCCATGTGTGGGGTTGTTTTGTTGCACTACTTGTACTTGGATCAATTTGTGCAGATGCAAGCTATCTAACAAATGGGTATTTGGAGACCACCATCGACTGGATACCTGGATTAATGAAGGATATTCGTTTGAGGGATCTCCCGAGCTTCGTTCGAACTACCAACCCAGACGACATCATGCTCAACTTTTTAAAGGAGGAAGTAGAGAGAGCTAAACGAGCTCAAGGAATCATTCTTAATACTTTCGATACCTTGGAACGCAAGGTTTTGGATGGACTTTCGTCCATGTTTTGTCGTGTTTACTCTGTTGGTCCACTTCATTTGTTCGCCAGTAATCAGATCTCGGAAAATGATGATTTGAAGTCTATTGACTCAAATCTATGGAAAGAAGAAGCAGGATGCATGGAGTGGCTCGACTCCAAGAAACCCAACTCGGTTGTGTATGTGAACTTTGGCAGCATCACCGTAATGACAGGTGAACAACTGGTGGAGTTCGCCTGGGGACTGGCTAATAGCAATCAAACCTTCTTGTGGGTTATTAGACCCGATCTGGTGAAAGGTGACTCGGCACTTCTACCTCCAGAGTTCGTACAACATACCAAAGAAAGAGGTCTACTGGCGAATTGGTGCCCGCAAGAGCAAATCCTCAACCACCCGTCAATTGGAGTGTTTTTAACGCACTGTGGTTGGAATTCGACGTTGGAGAGCATTTGCAATGGAGTGCCTATGCTGTGTTGGCCATTCTTCGCGGAGCAACAAACCAATTGCCGGTATACCTGTACTGAATCTGAATGGGGGATAGGCATGGAGATCAATAACGACGTCAAGAGAGATGACGTTGAAAGCCTTGTCAGACAGTTAATCAACGGAGACAAGGGGAAGGAGCTCAAGAACAAGGTCATGGAATGGAAGAAGAAAGCCCAAGAAGCCATATGTCTAGGTGGCTCGTCTCGCTTGAATTTTGACAAAATGATCGACCAAGTGCTTCTCTCCAACTCCAACTCCAACTCCAAATAATTATGGAATTTGGGGAATCAAATTCCATTTCTTAATTATAATAACTATTAGTGTATATATGATGTTTGTAACTTAATTTGTATGAAAATATGGTTAAAAATAAAACAGGGGGCTACGACAACCACTACAAGTGCAGCTGAATTCTGATGGAATTCAATAATATTGGTCCCAGTCAAGTAGCCACATGTATTGTTTTAATATTTTCTATATATATATATATATATATATATTAATTAATGCAGCACTGACTTTTAACTATATTTCCACATTTTTCGGTTCTTTTATTTACATATAGTACTGGTCCTGGCCCTTGTTCAGTTTGCATGGCTGGAATCCCGTGCATTAATTGTTTTAATTTGATGGCCTTCTTTATTTAATTTGATAAGCAAGAGGATTTACCTGGTTTTATTGATCCCAACTCTCCACTCCATTTATTTACCTTCCTTCTTCAACATCCTCAAGGTTTCATCATCTTCCCTCCTTCAGTGAAGGACTCAAGTGTCCGTTGTCCACGTCACTCTAGAGTGCCACGTCAGATTATTTTAAACAAAATGCTAAAAACTAATGACGTTTAGGATTAAATATTTTTTACATTTTATTTCAATTCTTCTGTTTTTTGCTCTTATTATTATTATTATTATCAAACCGACCAAAGAATTAAAAAGGTTAATAGAAAATTTCAATCAACCGTGAAATTTGCACAAGGTAACAAACAAACCATTACAAGAAAAGCGACCATTGGCAACAGTCATTTGTTTACAGTTAGATAATGTTGTTGCCAAAAGCCTAATTTTAGCCACAATTGATTAGCACCGTTGCTAAAACCATGGATTGGCAACATATTTTATCCAATTGTTGCTAGCTACGTAGCCAACTGTTGCAAATAGCACCTTTTTTTGACAACAATTGATTACCATTGTTGTTAAACTAATGTATTGACAACAGGCCTTATCCAATGGTTGCTAATTGTAGACCAACCGTTGCTAATTTCTTTCAACATGTAAACATTCAACAACTAGATTAAAGAATGATTAATATGGAAGCCACAAAAAGAAAAAGGTTCGTCTTAACTTATTTTATATTTTTATTAGGGCAGCTTAAATGGGAGAAGTGATTTCAATGGGTCGGGTTTAGTATAAGTTTGGTTAAAATACAGAAAAATGCAAAAACAAAAAAAAAAAAGAAAAAATTTTCCACCACGGCAAGTAAAACTGCAAAACCTCACGATTTTGAGTTCGACTAGCCTCAACAACTTCGAGTTTAACTTGAACCTGAAAGAGCATCACTAAGAAATTGTTAGGTTTTCTATTCTGATTTATTGGACTTCTACGATTCACCTGCTCTTCTCTCTACTTCCCTCCACGATTTGTTCACTTCTACTGAAGTTATTGAGGTTAATCTCTCTCTAATTTTCTCTCTATTATTTTATTTGATGGTTTCTATTAGGGTTTTCTCATTATTTTCTATAGGGTTTTCTACTTTTTTCTCATTATTTTAACATTAGGTTTGTAAATTTGTAGGGGTCGATCAAGCTAGACAGGGGGGCTGTAAGATAAAAATAGTGACTTGAAGACAAACCATCCATAAAATTCGCGGTTGTAGTGACTTGAGGTAAGATGTCGATTTTTGTGTTGAAAATTTCTATGCGTCTCTTTCTTTCTTGGCCCATCTAACATTGTTTGTTTGTTTCTGGGAAACAGGGTCAAGCTTGGTCTTTGTCACGATAGCATATAACATACCCAGAAGTGAGACTCAATCCCAGGTCAATCTCTATATATCATCTTCCTCATAGAACTATATTCTCTTAGTAAGGGAATTGATGGAGATCAATATTCTTTTGATAAAATACAGTTGGATGCAAATTAAATATTTGACTTGATTTAGTAATTTATGTGCTTTTGATAAAGCAATCCATAGAGAACTAGCACGACCATGGCATTCTAAGTGAAGGTTAACATGGTAGAAATGAGATGCTAAGGTATAATATTAATTTAAGGCTTGTGGAGCCTAAAATTAAATTTCAATTAGATGTGGAGGTTTTATATGCTGCAATTGCAATAGAAAAGAATAAAAAAACGAGGCTGCTTATTGGTTTTTGATACAATGTATGGAATGCTATCTATATAGGGATTGATGAGATATGTCGTGGAGAGTAGCACTTGGCCAGATCCATTGCACTATTCCTAGGGGGTTCTTTGAATTCCTCATTCAACTAAAAACCTAGAAGTGCCAATTCGTTGGATGACAGTTTAGCTAGAGCAAGAGTATCAAAGGTTAATCTAGAGTGGGTCCAGGGCTGGGTTGTAATCTGTAGATTGTGAGTTTTTATTTTTGTTCAGCTTCAGTTTTGCACTTTACCTCTTATTCCTTTGGGCCCATCTGTTGTATTATGGTTTTTTCAGCTCCTTAATGAATGGATT